GGGAGAGGTTGAGCGTGACCAATGTGGTCCATCAAGGGAGTCCGGCCATGCCCAGCAAGTCTGGTGAAAGCATTGAGATATATGACACAGGAGACTACATCAACTGCTGCAGGATTCTGGTGCTGGAGCCTGCTGAAGAGTAGGCCCTGGATATTTGAGAAATTTGATGTGATTCGTAGAGTCATCTCAGAAGCTGAGACAGTCCCATAATATTTGTACTGAAATTCCAAAAGCTGATGAAAGTAATTGAGAAGGGCCTGGGCAAGATAATCCATGGGGGGGTAATATCTTGCCATGTATTCCCGAATGGGTACCAAGACCTTGAACCGTCTCTGGTCATCACTATAGGCCAGTGAGGTGGAAAGTAGGGCTGATTTACAGCTCAGAATGTCTTTGATTGGAAGCTTACTTTGGACCAGCTCTATATCTGAAAGGCCATCTGGGAGCATTGAGAGGAGGCTCAAAAGATCCTGGCAATGAGGCACAGATGTGAGTCGGGGGCTGGAGAGAGACATTGAAATGGATAGATCGAGATTTGACCGCTTGTCATAGCCATCCGAGATCACTGAGGTTTTTTCTTCCTCCCAACGGGCCAAGACATTGAGGCAACCCTCAGATTCAACCAAATGGGCAATGAGATCAATTGCAAGTGGCATGTTGTCAGTCAGGAGAAGAACTTTGTCCATGTCATCACTGTCGTGAAAATTATCTGCAATGTCAATGAAAGTCTGTCGGGCAGCATCCTGTGTCAATGGTTTCAACACTGGAAGGAAAGGCCGAGTCCAGTGCACTGAGGCTGGTCTTTCTGCCCCGCGCATTGTGATCTAGCATTGTGTCAGTTATACTACTTCAGTAAGGATATTAGCACTCACAATCAACCCAAGGTGTTTTACATCTGTAAGCAGAGACAAAAGTTCTTCAATGTCTCGACGGATCTCCATAGGCTCCCAGAGCGTCTCCAAGTTATCCAGGATCAACAGGCACGCCGGATTGGTCGTAAAGTGATGCAAAATCACTTTGGCCAGATTCTTCTTTGGCTTCAGTCCCAAATGCGCCCCAATGAGGATAACCAGTTCATCTTTACTTGATGCAGTGTCGCAAGGAACAAAGAAACGATGCTGTCCATATTTCCCAGTGACTGTTGAATGATGCAAAACAGCTCTTGAAAGACTTGTCTTTCCCATTCCGCCTGCACCCAAAATTGCTATTCTAGGTGTCTCCTGCATGAACACTTTGAGAATGTCCGCAAGTTCAGCTTCTCGCCCATGGAAGATTTTTGGTTCAGATCAAAAACGCAACGACGGATGGAAGGACTCTTGCTGCCGCATATTTCCGTTGGCGCGGGTACTCGTGGCGGGGCTGTAGAAAATAGAAGCGATGATGCAGCCTACCTCAAATTGCTGCCGACAAAACTTCACCGCTTCGCCGTAGGTGTCGAACCGTGGGCTGTCTTTACAAATGTTACTTCTCACTACACCCAGAATACAAGGTCCACCCACCAACGACCCCTTGTCCGAAGAGGTCCCATCAGACAAGGCATCAATCAACTCCAGAACTTCTTGGTGTCTGTCTTCAGCAAACTTCTCCATATCCCCAATCTCATTGAGGAAATTCATGTTATGAACCTGTGTTATTATTGTTGGTTCAGTCCCGGCATGAACCATACACCAAACCACTTCACCTTGAACAGATCTAGTGTCTCTTGCAAACTCATGTTACAATCCTTAAATAGTTTGCTCATTTCTCCCTGACGGAAAAAGTGCCTGATCTTGCTTTTATCCTGTTGGGCTTCTACGAATGTATGGACCTTGTAGAGTGTGCTGCAGAAATTCAATCAGAAACAATTTATTTCCAGGAAGAGACATACTCTGTGAATTTTCCGAGATCATTCAGCATGCTCGGTGTCAAATCTAGACCAGTCTCCGGTTTCATATGGAGAGAAACAATTGCATAGAGCAACCCATAGGTTTGCTCCAACAATTGAGTACAATCACTCTTGTTTTGCTTGACAGTCTGGCAAAAGTGAGACAGATTGTATGATCTATAGTAGAAATGTAACCTGCACAGCAGTTAACAGAGACTTGGCAGTGTTGGAGATAGGCTCCAAGAATGGGCTCTTGAAGGTCTTAGCAAGGACCTCCAAGGTATCCACTGCTATAGTGAAACATTTTAGAATGTTGTTTAATCGGATTTCGGTCGCAATGGGCTGAGGAGGCATTTGGGCTGATGGGCACAGAGTTCAATCATGCTGTTAGACAGCTCCTTTTATACCCGAGGCCCATCCGAAGTTGAGTAATCATTGGTAACAGATACCCAGACTAATTTTTACTCCGAAGTTGGCGCAGATAGCACTCCTCAATGTATGCTGTCAACTGTGCTGTTATCATTGGTAACAGCCTCAGATACCCAAACTAATTTTTACTCCGAAATTGGTGCAGATAGTATCCTCAATGTACGCTGTCAACTGTGCTGTTCGACAGCTCCTTTTATCCCCGAGGCCCATTAGGAGTTGAGTAGCCATTAGTAACAGTCTCAGATACCCAAAATAAACTTTACTCCGAAGTTGGTGCAGATAGCAGTGGACAGACGGTCAAACTCTTAACACCGTGGCCCGATCCGTTCATCCCCAATGTACGTGGGAGCTTGGACATTCATTGACTCATCAAATGATCCCCTGAATTTAGCACCGATGATTGAAGCCCAATGCATAAGTTCTATTTCGACCAAATTACACCTAAGATTGCCAAATTTGGGCACAGCCGAGGTTGTACTCAAACGCCAACTGGTGAACTACAAAAAACTCAGTCTGAAATTGGAACTGATTCTAATAGTTTGAGTTACAAAACGAGGGGGATTGAAAATGATTTAAACCAAAGAGTTATAGCTGCGATAATCATCGAGTGAATGCCCTACGCTTCTGTCTTCTGTGCGAAGGCCGAAACGATTCGATCCACGTAAAACATGAAATCTAATACTCAAACCCATTTGAAAATGACCCACATCATGCTAGCCTGGAAAGCAGATAAACCAAGCGGTGGCAGGTCAGCAAGAAGTTGGGCTTTGGCCCTCTCCGACGCAAAAATGCTCGTGAACAGTGCGTCCGTCTTGATCCGAAGGAATAAAATTGTGGGGGCCGACCTTCGACTCCATACCGTAGTCAGCCAAAAACGCAACGACGGATGGAAGGACTCTTGCTGCCGCATATTTCCGTTGGCGCGGGTACTCGTGGCGGGGCTGTAGAAAATAGAAGCGATGATGCAGCCTACCTCAAATTGCTGCCGACAAAACTTCACCGCTTCGCCGTAGGTGTCGAACCGTGGGCTGTCGTAACTCCTCATGAGTCGTATTATAAATATGACCTCGTCGTCGGCGTCCGGTGGGTGTACGATCCTAGAAGAGGGATACAGTGACTTCGTGGGTCTGATCGCAGCTCTTCGGACGATAAAGATTCAAACAATCCTGGCTTCTTCGGGATGAACGCTTTTAAGGATGCGTTTGAGGATGACAAAATTGCCATCCGCGACGCGAGTCCCGTCGATAACCTGCCCGTACCGCAATATATGCGGTCAGACTAGTACAAGAGAAGATCTAGTGGGGCTTGGGCTGAGAATGTGGCTTGCTCTTGTCGCGCATCCACGGACCACGATGGGATCCAATCGAGCTGATAATGGGGTCGCAGTATGTAGCCATATTCACTGAGTCATGGCTGATGATTACGCCAATGGACCTCTCCGGCAGCAAGCTTGTCGATCAGACGCGGAGCGTAGGTCGACATGGAGAAAGAGTTCGATTGGGCTTTTTGTCCTTATTTATAATTTGGGGCGGTGGTGCACGGAAGCAAGTGTAACATGCCGGTTTTGGCGAGACGCCCATTTCAATATGACCTCTTTTGTTGTCCGCTGAAAGCACATAACCGGATCAAGCCCTTGTTAGATCTGATCCGGGGCAGCGCTTGTGTTCATCAAATCCGGGAGGACCCCACGTTTGATGTGCTGAAAGTTCAGCCAATAATTTACGCTCTGGTATATCCCGCAACAGTTCAACCATTGGGTTTCACGGACCTATAGCGCCAGATGCCAGAGACTCACATCCCCATTTTAAGAGCTGGTTGAATGAGAAGAAAAAAATCCACTACAACACCTGTTATGACCCAGGCCCGAATCGAACGGACGTCTTCTGCTGTACCATGTATCATCCACTACATCCCACAGACGCGGACCATCCACCACAGGGTCGGTATCTGAGTGACCTTGCACACTCATACCTAGCCTCGCGAATAGTGAAGGCCTCAGGTTTGGATTTTTGGACACACCCGGAAGAACAACGAAGATGGAGGGCCATCCACGGCAGGAGGAAAATACGAAGGAAGGTATTAAATGTGTATGAATCATGTAGGGAAATCTACACACCTGGTGGTTAGATTCAACTCGCTGCACGCAACACACTGGATAGAACAAATCCCAGATTCTATGACCCAGGCCCGAATCAAACGGGGTCAATGATTTACAAAGTCGGGCAGACCATCCGCCACCGGGTCGGTGCCAGTCTTGAAAGCAATTTGGTGTCTGGGAAATCCTCATTATAACTCCCTAAAGTCCCTGGATTATCCCACCATGACCCAGCCCCGAATCAAACGCGATGTTCTGCATCCCCAGCAAGGCCTGTCTGTAAAGGCGGGCAGAAGCGGACCATCCGCCACCGGGGCGGTGCAGGTTTCGCACCTTGGTGTCTTTAGCGTCGTGGCTATCGAATAATACGTCTGATCCATCCATCGAGATCGAAAAAATGCTACGAAATGAACCCCAAAACCCAGCCCTGAATCGAATGAGCATTCTTGCATTCTCTGCTGAAAATATCTGGTCCTACAAGCGAGCAGATGCGGACCATCCCCCACCGGGTCGATGAAAAGCTTGAAATAACCTCGACCTCTCAGGCATGCTCAGTATGACCGGCGGAATGTGGTTGAGACGGAGAAAAAAAAAAACAATTCCTTCAGCGCATGACCCAGCCCCGAATCGAACGGGAGAGTTCTGCATCCTAGCAAGAGGGTAGGACACGTATAGTAGGCAGACGCGGACCATCCACCACCGGGTCGGTATTAGCTGAGTATGTACTCTCAATATCCATAATCCTTACCACAATCTGAGCAGTGAAAATCGAGCTTTGCAGCGGGGGGCAGCCCGATAGCTCCCGATGGGCGCATCACGACTCGGATCACGTGTGCCTGCTTGATCCTGGTGGGCAATGCATCGGGCCATCAATCCGTTCCCACGCATTAGTTGCCGGATTGCCGGCCCTCTTGAGTGACCCAATGTTGCCAACACGTTTTCCGGACTCAGGACGTCTGCGTTCATCTAACTCATAGGTAGAAATATGTCTCAAATGTATGAATGGATGCAATGGTCGAAGGGATTTTGACTTTTCCAACTGTAAGTGTCCGAACCGGCTGAATTCGTGGTGAAATGCATGTGTTTGTAGTAAAGGGGTGGGAATTCAGGAAATCCCTTCGATCATTGCATCCATTCATACGTTTACTACATATTTCTACCTATTAGTTAGACGAACGCAGACGTTCTGAGTCCGGAAAACGTGTTGCGAGACGCCAACTTGCCATCATTTGCACCTGTTTGATCCCTGCCGATTCAAGGCGATCCAACCCATATCTTGTGTGCTGATGGGAATACCATCCGATTTAACCCGGCTACTCAGGGAGAAATCATCTGGGACTATGCACGAGGCTCAGGATTTTTTCTCGGAATTTTATTCCACAATTTGATGACCTGACAGAGTTGGTGTGCATTCCCTCACATTTACCAGGGGTTGAGTCGGCAGGCTCTGCTGCTCTCAATTGCTAAGGGAAACATATAGATTTGGAGAGCATACATCCTAAGGATACACACAATATTTATATTTTTTTTTCGTCTGGATGGAGAGAGAACTGATAGCCAGACGACGTGAATATGTGGTGGGTCAAGGAGAAACGATCGGGTTCCAATTGACGTTGCACGTGATCGTCACGGCCGATCAATTGGAATTGCCCACCACCATTGACAATGACAATGATCCACTCGTCACTCACCGACGATGGTACTCGGGAAGGAGGGCAAGGCGTGAATCGGATAGGTGCGCGAATACTGTAGCTTTCGAATTGCATCGGAGGAAATTTCTTGCTGAATATCGCAGTTGCCCTCTTCAGTCACCCATTCTCCGAAAAATTGAATCTGGCTGAAGCAAGCATCACTGTAACTGTTTTCAAAACCCCGGCAAAGCCCCTCCCCCGCGAATCGAGGAGCCTCAGCATCGACGGCTCCGCGCAAGCCCGCATGATTCGGAACCCGCCATTTAAGCCGCCTCGTCGCGCGCTTCCCACCAGCAAGCAGTGAGCGCACCTGAATCTACGCAGATGCCAGCAGAGAAGATCGTGCAGGTGGCACCCGAATCCCCGCAGACGGCAGCTGAATCCCCGCCCACACCCGCAGAGACACTCGCGCGCCTCTCCGGCGGCTGCGGCCCCACCTCCAGCGTCGCGCAAGCGCAGTACCGCCTCTACCTCGTCACGCTCTATCCCATCCGCGCCGGCGCGCGCATCCTCGAGCTTGGGTACGGGCGGGAAGACACGACGCCGCGCTCGCCGTCGGCGGCAATGGGCACGTCCATGCGGTCGACCCCGCCCCGCTTGACTACGGTGCGCCTGTTCCCCCTTCCCTCTCCCCTTCTCGTGTACCTGGCCAGGAACCTGACGGAATGGGTAGGCGTGCCAAAGACACTGGGCAGGCGCAGGCGACGATCAGCGACGACGGGCTCGGCGCGCGCATCGCGTGGGCGCAGGCCGAGCCGCTCGCGTTCCTCGACGCGCACCCGGACGCGCGCTGGGACGTCCCACACAGCCTCAAGTACTTCGGCTCCCCCGCGCACGTCCGCCTCCGAGAGATGCTGCAAGCGCTCGCGCGGCACACTGTGTATGTATCGCGGAGTGGAGTCTCGACGCAGGCGTGGGCGGAAAGGCGGGGACGCACGTGCTGGCGGTGGTAGTGCACGGCGCGCTCGAGTGCCGCAAGCCCGGCTCCGGCTCCGAGGCGAACATGCGCACCGTCGTCCCGCCCCTCCGCATCAAGGGGCTCGCCGCTGCCTGGATAGAGGGCGTGCGGACGATGAAGGCGTGGGTTCCTGTTTTCAAGAGTGGGGAGTGGGAGGTGCGTTATCTTCCGGTACACGCTCAGTACCGAGTCTGTCCACCAACCTGAAATGGTGACAATCATCGTGTTTAGAAATTAGGATGCAGAATGCGAATGCGATACGCACAGGCACCCTACCGATGTATGCATTTTCATCTCCATCTGTGGCGAGCGGTTCAGATAACGCTCGATTGATTTGTCTTTCGGCGTCGATGAATTTGTCTTTCGACCCCTGACACCAAGGTAGTTTCGAGACTAACATCGACCCGGTGGCGGATGGTCCGCGTCTGCTCGCCTTGCGTCGACAGAGTCACTGGGATGCAGAAACAGCCCGTTCGATTCGGGGCTGGGTCATGGTTCTGGTCGTTCGAGTCTTTTTGCCTCCACATTTCGCAAGACTCCCAGAGCCCGTTTGATTGTCACGTTGAACAGGAGGAAGCCAGCGTACCTTCGACCATTCTATTGAGCCGGTGGCGGATGGTCCGCGTCTGCGCATGATACACATCCGTCCACGCCTGCATATGCAGAACACTCCTTTCGATTCGGAGCTGGGTCATGAATTCTTATCGAATATTTTTCTTCCATCTCTCGCCGGCATTTCGCCAGCGGTTCAGACAACGCTTAATTTTTCTTTCGACGCGGCCATACCAAGGTACTTCGGAGACTAGCAGGGACCCGGTAGCGGGTGGTCCGCGTCTGCTCGCTCTATAGAGAAATTCGTTGGGATGCAGAAATAGCCCGTTCGATTCGGGGCTGGGTCATGTATTGAATAGATTCCGGTCTTTTTCACCTCAGTCTCAACCATATTTCGTACATTATACTGAAGACATCAAGGTACGTTCAACCCGTCTATCGACCCGGTGGCGGATGATCCGCGTCTACCTGCCTTTGCACGGGAAATGCGTTAGTGGGACGCAGAACTCACCCGTTCGATTCGGGGCTGGGTCATGTGTGCGTTCCGTTCAATCTTTTTATCTCTGTCTCAGCCACATCTCCTCAATTAATAAATCGGACAAGGTAGCGTTTTGTATCGTCCCATCTTCGGGCCATGTATCCATATCTAAGCAGCACTTGACCAAACCTCGGGTGCAAGTTAATTTTCCAATCGGAGCTGGCGACTGAATGTGGTCTCGCTCTCGATCAAAGCTCTTTTGTGCGATCGTTTTGTTGAAGCCCCTCTACCCCTGTGCCTAAAACAAGCGCATTGTACTCCGATTCTGGATTTAAGGCACCCAAAATGCTATGCACTCTGTCTCATCCGATCTACGCTTCGAACAATTGAACGCAGCTACCAGTGCATTCTGTTCTCAATTGATCGGTCGCCCTTGTATCTCAAGAAAGGGTTAATATTATAATGAATCCTACGCTTTGAGACCGATCATAGACCGGACCGAAGAATGGACAAGACGTCGAGACTCCGGCCAAAGGTATAAAAAACCCCCCACACTTCATCTCATCCCTCAGTTTCTCCCTCGATAAACTCTCCTCATTCACACTCCTCATCCTCTTTAACCATGGACGCTTTCACCAAGACCGTGCCCACCAAATCCGAGGAGGTCGCTCTCCCTCCCACCAACGAAGACGGCGGCACCGGCTCCAGCGGGAGCTGCGTCGTTTGCAAGGAGGACACCGCCCTCCCGCCCATGAACGAGGACGGCGGGACGGGATCCAGCGGCAGCTGTGTCATCGCTTGAGCGGCGCCGATCGACAATAACCCTTCAACCATTGTGCGTCTTTTTTGTCCGGGTTTATTCTCATATTTCGCTGACCCCGCTGCCAGCGTTCTCATTATCATTATCATTTTCTTCTGTGGTGGAGGCATTTGGCGGAGGGGACTTTTGATGCGACGGCAACCACGAGCATCTGGACCTGAGCTCTGCTACCTTGTACTAGTTTGGTGTATTTGAAGGGGGAGAATTCGTGAAATAATGATTTGTGGTGTTACAAGTCAATCCTGCCTTCATGTGACGAGCGTCTCAACCTGCTTCATGCTAAACTAACTGTAAATATCCACCCCCTCGACTTGAATCAATAGTATAGCAAACTGGGTGACGGGTATACATGTATACAGGTGCGCATTAGATCCCCCAGTTGTTTTCTGTGTATACCCCTAGAACAACCAGAGTGCGTCGAAAATGAGGTTTGGCGACCTGTACACAGCCCAAAACGTCAGCGTGAGGTCCCACGGCTGAATAAAGGCGGACGACGTACAAAAAGGTGTCGCCGGAGGAGCCCGACGCGACGCTGATGGTGATCGTGTTGCTTCCGGCGACGAGGGCGCCCGACGGGATGGCGTAGGTGTACAGGATGTTCTGCCATGGCGTTAGTATGTTTGCATCTTAAGAATAAATGCGACGACTGACGTTTCCGCGCCAAGTCCCTCGGGTGACGCCGCGGGAGTCGGGTTGACTGGGCGCGGGGGGGACGGCGCTGGTGAAGCTGCCAACAGATACGACGGGGCGGGCACCCGCGAACGCCAGAGTCGTAGCAATGGCCAGCGTCCGGGCGCCGACTGCAGTCGTGAAGTGATGTCAGCGCAAGTAACAAGAATGAAGCAGCGAGAGAGCGCACTCTGCGACGAGGTGAGGGTGGTCTTGATGGTGACAGGCCCGATGGCCTTGAAGATGGCCATGGGGAAGGCGGTGACGGCGCTGCCGACGGTGAATGTCACGGGGCCCCAGGACGACATGCGCGTATCGCTGGGGTGCATCGTCTCAATTTTGCTGTACAAAAAATCAGCCGTCCAGTTCGTTGCACACAAATGCGGAAAGACGCACTCGGCGTTCAGGAAACCACGGGGAGTGCCGTCGTAGTCGCCGATCGTCCAGATCGTCGTCGGGAGCTGCGAGATGGTCAGCGAAAGAAGCTATCTTGCAAGGATATGCGTACCGAGAGCGACGAAGCTACGTTGGCAGCGGT